AGGAGAGAAGGAGAGAAGGAAGGAAGGAAGGAAGGAAGGAAGGAAGGAAGGAAGGAAGGAAGGAAGGAAGGAAGGAAGGAAGGAAGGAAGGAAGGAAGGAAAGAAAGAGTAATCCAATGAACACTCTTCACCTGCTTGTGAGCAGCCGAGGTGCTCAATGAAAAACTGGCTTACTGCTCACAACCAGCAAGCAGAATACGGGTTGCCAGCTCCGGGTTGGGAAATAACTGGAGATTTTGGGGGTAGAGCCTGATGAATGTGGGGTTTAGGGAGGGGAGGGACTTCGATGGGTTATAATACCACAGAGTCCACCTTCCAAAGTGGCCATTTTCTCCAAGTGAATTGATCTCTGTTGCCTTGAACTCAGTTGTAATCCCAGGAGATCTCCAGCCACCACCTGGAGGCTGGCAATGCTAGAACGGAACAACAGCCAAGCTAGTGGGTGTGTGACTATCCCTAATTCCAACTGAAAAATTTCTACTCAAAGTTTCCACTTTCCACCAGTCACTGACCATCTTGGTGGCTTTAGGAAGGCTTTCGGAGTCTATATAGTAGAAAGACTAAAACTTCAGTAGCACCTTAAAGGCTAACAAAAAAGAAATGAGTTTGGGTATGAGCTTTCATGAGTCACTGCTAACTTCCGTCTATGTGTCCTATATATTGGAAAGTGGAGTGATTTTAGATGCCAAATGACATTAGCAGGCAAATGACAATAGCAGGTGTGATTGGATTAGGTGTGATATGCAAAGAGGTAGTAGGCACAGAGAAATCAGCATTGGTAATGAGACAGGAAACCTAGGTCTTGATTCAGTCCAGGTGGATGCATTGTCTTGAGCTTCATTATCAGCTGCAATTCAGCAGTCTCTCTTCCTAATCTCCCTTTGAAATGCCTTTGTAAGAAAACTGCTACTCCTAGGTCAGCAACTGAATGTCCTGAAAGGTTACAAAGTTCCCCCACTTGTATTTGAATGTTGTGGTTTTTTAATGTCAGACTTCTGTCCATTTATTCTTTGTCGCAGGGACTGGCCTGTTTGTCCGATGTAGAGGGCAAAAGGGCATCGCTGACACGTGATGGCATCAATCACATTAGAGGATGAGCAGGAGTAGGAACCTGAGATGGTGTGGCTGATGTTGCTGGGTCCACTGTCGGTGTTACTGGGTTCTAGATGAGAGCAAACTTGGCATCTTGGTTTGTTGCAGGCCTTGGTGCCAGAGTCCATGGGACTGCTAAGTAGTTTATCATTGCGGGTGAGAAGTTGTTTTAGGTTAGCAGGCTGTCTGTAAGCGAGAAAAGGTCGGGGGGGGCCCAGTGCCTGTGTGAGGGCAGGGTCACTCTCCAGCGTGGGTTGTAGGCCATTAACAACGCGTTGAACTGGCTTGAGTTGTGAGCTGTAGGTGACCACCAGTGGTGCGCTGTTGTCATTTTCTTCAGGCTTGTCTTGTAGCCAGCTGTCCCTGGGTATCATTCTGGCCTTTCCAATCATCTTACTCGCCATATCAGGAGGATATTGTAGTTGCAGAAAATGACACTCACTTGAAGGATCTGCAACACGCATTTTTGACAGACAAACACAGCGATCCATCTGGGGTCTATATAGTGTGTTACACACCCCGTTACCTTCCTCCTGACTGGCATAAATGGAATAAGTTATGAAAATGGAAAGGATATAGAACAATCCATTTAAAAACAAAGGCGTTTTGTAAGTCTGCACTATTTGCCTAATTGATGCAGGACAGAGGACAGTTTGTTGAATTTTTAGCGTGGAATATTCACAGCTCTGGCCTTAAGCTGCAGACAATATCCAGATGCAGAAGGTTACAGAAAGCACTGGAATTATTCAAGCCTGTCTGAAGACCCTGCAGGACAGCCGTCGACAGCGGAGACGGCTGCTGTCCCCGCTAAACAATGCCGCCTCCCCAAGGCACACTTGCATCTAAAAAGAGAAAGAAAATCCTGTCTCCTGGGCTTGCTGCCCATTTGGAATGCTTTGTGGAAATTTCTCTTCGATTCATGCTGTTCTAGGCAATCCAAACACCCCTAGGTGTTTTTTTTTACTGAATTCATCTTTGGATTTTGCCAGTGTGCAAATTGGACCTGCTAATCTTTATCTCAAGCCATTTCTGCAGTCTCACACTGGGTTTTCTTATAAACTGTACTTACTTTTCAGACAGATCAAGATGAGTAGCTGTGTTAGTCTGTAGCGGCAGAAAAGAGTTCAGGTCCACCTTGAAGACTAACAAAATCTGTGGTAGGATATGAGCTTTTGTGATACCCGAAGAAATAATTGAAGAAGTGAACAGTGACTCACAAAAGCTCATACCCAACCACAAATTTTGTTAGTCAATGTATAGAATCACAAACTCATCTGTGATTCTATACATTGAGACCAGATTGATGTAGTAGCTAAGAGCGCGGATTCTAATCTGGGAGAACCCGATTTGATTCCCCACTCCTCCACATGCAGCTGCTGGTGTGACCTTGTGTCTGTCATAAATTCTTCCAGGGCTGTTCTCTCAAGGTCAGTTCTCTCAGAGCTCTCTCAGCCCCACCTCCCTCACAGGGTGCCTGTTGTGGGGAGGGGAAGGGAAAGGGATTGTAAACTGCTCCTTTGGGTAGTGAAGAGTGGGGTATAAATCCAATCTCTTCTTCTTCTTCTGACCATGAGCTGTTACACGAACCGCATTTCAACTAAAATATGACCTTAGGGCAGTTAGGACTTTGTTAACTACAGTTCCAGTGAGTCGCTAGCAAAAGTATTACTAGAACTTATTAAAAATCTGTAGATTAAATGGGAGCCCTTTGAAAATATATATAGTTATTGCACACAGAATAAATAAAAAGGTTTTGGATCTTCCTCACTTCATGGCTCCAGAGGAAACCTAGAATACCCAGAACAATGAGCCCAAGGCCTTTCCCGTTGCTGCTCTAGCAAGCAGGCCCCCAGGGCAAGGTCTCCATCACTACCCCGGTGCCATTCTCGAATGATGACATGGTTTGTAGAAGTCTGGCCATATATGTCTGTCCATTGGAAGGTCCCTGGAGGTGGATACGCACCATTGTATTGTGGATAGCCTTAAACCTCCGGCGATGGTGTGGCATAAGCTGTGTATGGAGGGGGAACTGAAGAGATCGCAGAGTCATCCTATGTCACCTCAGAACCAATACAGACCCCATTTGTTCTGGAATCTCGGAGAGCAATTTTCCAAGCCAAGCAGTCATCAGCACTTTCCGCACAGAGGAGGCTGAGAGCGCCTTCCCATCGAATCTGCAGCAAGCGGTCTCCAGGCCTGCCCTCAGGAAGCTGCAACTCTCGGCCTGCCTTTCCCACTCTGACACTGATGCAGTCAATTTTCATGTGGATTCTGTCTTCCAGATCCTGCCGGTGATCACCGTCATAAAACGGTAAGTGACCCCGAGACCACAGATCAAACCAATTCTTCTTCCAGCACCGTAATATAGTACTTTGCCGGAGCAGCCAGCCGCTTCTCACCAATCATAACCAGGGGTCATTTCGTAGAAAAGGAGGTGCAGGAGCTCATTAGCATAACACATTAGCATAACTTATTTGCATAGGCCACACCCCCTGACATCACCGGAAGTTTGTCAGAAGGCAACACCCACCGCTCAGGCTCCACTGGACGGTTTTGGATTGCTAGCTATTGCAGATCTGTCCTCACAGAGGAGGGAGAGCTTGTACCTGAACAAAACTTGGTCTTAAAGGTGTCACTGGACTGTTTTGCACTGGATTGCTAGCTATTGGGGGGGATGCGCAGATCTGCCGTCACAGAGGAGGGAGAGCTTGTACCTGAATAAAACTTGGT